TACCTCTTGAAATGGTTAAACATATACCATTTCTTTTTGGTATAGTGACTTTGTGTATTCCTTCTATCTTCTTTTTATGCTTTCTGCATCATTCAATTTTTTGCCCATGGAGTCCTTCAATATTTCAAGTCAAGGCTTGACTTTTTCTTTTTAGCTTGGAAATACTGATTGTTTTCTTTCCTTTTGGTTTTCAAACTCCAGGTCTTTGCACATTTCATTCTAATACTAGTCTTTGTCTTTGGCTTCCTCATTTCTTCCCTTTGCTTTAGCATCTGTATGTTAGAGTTCAAGTTTCAGAGTCTCTTCTGACATCCATTTTGATGTTCTCTTTCTTTCCTGTCTTTTTAATGACCTTTTGCTTTCTTCCTGTAGGATGATCTTGATGTCATCCCAGCAGCTCTAATACACCAAATCTATCCTGGAAATGATCTCTAAATTCAGGTGGGGTATGTTCAAGGACACATTTTGGCTCTTGTGGGCTTGCTTTAATTTTCTTCAGCTTTAGCCTGTACTTGAAAATGATAGTGTATTCCACAGTCTGCCCCTGGCCTTGTTTTGGCTGATGATATGGAGGGTTTTTTTTTGTTTTTGTTTTTGTTTTTGTTTTTTAACTATCTCTTCCCACAGATGTAGTCAACTTGGTTCCTGTGTATTCCATCTAGTTATGTCCTTGTGTGTAATCACCTTTTATGCTGTTTTTAAAAAGGTATTTTCAATGAACAAATTGTTGGTTTTACAAAATTCTATCATTAGAGCTCTAGCATCATTTCTAACATCAAAGCCAGGTTTTCCAACTACTGACCCTTACTCTTTGTTTCCAAACTTCAGATTCCAATCATTAGTAATTATCATTACATCTTTTGATCAGTTTCAGCCTGAAGAAGTTAGTAGAATTCTTCAATTCCCTCATTACTGGCTTTGGTGGTTGGTGTGTAAATTTGAATAATAATGGTGTTAACTGGTCATCTTTGTAAGTGTATGGATAGCCTATCACAGACAACCTTGTATTTCAATATAAATCTTGAAATGTTCTTTTTAATGATGAATGTTACACCGTTTCTCTTGAATTTGCCATTCTGGCATAGTAAACCATATGATTGTCAGATTCAAAATGGCCAATACCAGTGCATTTCAGCTCACTAATGCCTAGGATATTGATCTCTATGTATTACATTTCAATTTTGGCAACTTCCAATTTTCCTTCATGCATTCCATATTCTAATTATTAATGGATGTTTGCAGCTGTTTCTCCACATTTTAAGTTTTGCCCCATCAGCAATGAAGGTTCCTAAAGCTTTATTCCATTCTCATTATCATGGTCAACTCTACTTTGAGGAGGCAGCTCTTCCCCAGTAGTGTTTTGAGTGCCTAAGGGACTCATCTTCCAGCACTATATGTAACAATATTCTGGCATTATCCATAGTGTTTTAATCTTTCAGCATTACATCTGATAATGTTCCACTGCTAGTCATACGTTTTCAGTGGCTCACCATTCAGAAGTAGTGTGCCTATGCTTTCTAGTCTGTCCTAGTCTGGAAACTCAGCTGAAACCTGTCCACGATCGATCAGTGACCCTGCTGGTATTTAAAATTCTAGTAGCATGGCTTCTAGCATCACAAGGACATGTAAGCCACCACAGTATGATGACAAAAGAGTGGTGGAATATAGAGTTGTCAGAAGTGGGATTTGGAACCCTGTCTCCAGGGAAGACTGTGACCTGAATGCAGCTGCTTAGACCACTCAGTCATGCTATCCTCACTAGCCATTTGTGGTTGTTGTTTTTAGGTGCAATTGAGTCAATACTGACTCATAGCAACCTTATGTACAACAAAATGAAACACTGCCAGGTCCTGTACCAATCTCACAATTGTTGCTATGTTTGAGCCCATTGCTGCTGCCACTGTTCCAATTGGTCTCATTGCAAGTCTCCCTCTTTTTCACTGACCCTCCACTGTACCAAGCATGATGTTCTTCCCCAAGGACTGGTCCCTCCTGATAACATGTCTGAAGTATGAGAAATGAAGTCTGGCCATCCTGACATCTAAGGAGCATCCTAGTTGTACTTCTTCCAAGATAGACTTAATTGCTCTACTGCCAGTTCATTAGCCATTGTGGCCATTGTTGTTAAGTGCCGTTGAGTCGATTTTGACCCATAGTGACCCTGTATGGGTCTCTGAGGAGCAGCTGGTGAGCTTGAACCACCAACCTTGCAGCTCAAATGGCTTTGCAGTTTGGCGCATTAACCCACAGCACCACACCGGGACTCTCATTAGCCATTGTTGTTGTTGTTAGGTACCATCGAGTCAATACTGACTCATAACAACCCTATGCATAACAGAATGAAACACTGCCTGGTCCTGGGCCAACCTCACAATTGTTGCCATTCTTGAGCCCATTGATGCTGCCACTTTGCC